ACTGATGGCAGGGAGCCCATTGTCAGACTCTGCTGTCTAAGGTGGGGTTTATCCCCACTGCCCTCTAGACCCCAAATTCCCAGCGGGGCTCTGGGCAGCAAGGAGAGGTTCCATCTCCCCTGGCTTCAGCCTCGTGGGATTGAGCTCTCAGCTCTAAGCTGGTCACGCAGCTCCCTCTATAGTCAGTGGAGAGAGGCGGGGACTCGTCCCACTGTCCCTGTCACCAGAGGCTCTGCTCCCCTCTCCAGGCAGCACAGGGAGCCAAAGGGGTTCGACTGTGTTAGTCCCCCCCACTCAGGGCCTGCAGCTGGGTGGGAAGAAAACCTGTGTCTGCACCCATGAAATCAAGGATCAGAGGCTGAGCCCATGGGGATGGCACTCACCTTCCCTCTGCTTCGACCCAAACTGCCTCCAAAATGAAAATGTCAAAGGCTTGACCCTTTGTGGTTACAAGGCAGGATGGGCAGGTAGGCTGGGAGTGCCTTTTGGGTTTGGAACAAACCATTAAGTACTTCAGTGCAGATGGAAAACCTGCCAGGCTCTGCACAGGCGTGGAGCTGTGGCAGCACCAGGGAATCAGACAATCCCATTTTTTACCAAAACATGGAGTCCTAATGAATGTGACCTCTCCAGGTGCCAAATCCTGCCCCTCCACAAGGGGTTTACACTGGCAGCCTCAGCACAAGTGCATTCATAACGTGTATCATTTGTCATCTTTTCATCAAAAAGTGTGTAAAGCCTCTCCCTCAAGTGCAGAGCTGTTTTACAGCCGGGCTATAAAATCCTGCAGACTCTCTGCTCCAATAGAATTACATTAGTGCCAATAATCTGGCAAATATCAGGAGGGAATTTAATCAAAAGAAATAACACCAGGGCCCTGATTTACGGCGGCCCACGACAGAGCGGGGCGGACGAAGGTTTGCAGGACCCAGATGTGGAATTCACTTGCAACATCATTTGGAGCAGAGGGAAAGCAGAAGGAACTGGAAGCACGGCTTTGGTGTGTTGGGAACTCTTCGTGCTTTCTCAAAAACTAGTGAGAAAGGAACAATTCACCCTTGTCTGTCTTAAAAGACGAACGTGCAAAATTTCTTATATCTGGAGCTTTGTTGCTTCTCTGGACAGCCCCCACACCTGAAGGGTCAATGCAACACCAGGGGTTTGATGTGTCCAGGGCAAAGGGCATCCTGCTCCCTTGCCCTCTGGGATGAGCCCATCCATCCCCCCGATTGGAGGAGCAGCAGGACCACGGGACTCCTCCAGCCCCAGAGTCCCCAGCTGGGGCCACGCAGAGATCAGCTCTGGGGTCTGACCTCAAAACACCGGGGGAACCCGAGCCCTGGCTTGAGTAACTGCTGTCCCTGGGTTTGCCTGACCACCCACCCACAGCAGCCACACTCCTCCAGCCCCAGCCCCAGCCCAGCCCCAGCCCCAGCTCCAGCCTGGCAGGCTCTGGCGCTCACCCAGCGTTGCCACTTCATGCAATATCCCCGCTCCATCTGTCATCAATTCCTTTGCATGTGGTTTGCAGACTCCGTGCCGTGCCCTGCCTTGTGTGGCTCTGTGACAGGGCATCTCTGGGCACTGACAAATTCTTTGCTTTTATCATTTTTGCAAGAAAACCACGGGAAGCAAACGCAGAGGCGAATTACACGGCACAGCTGCATTGCTGTTAACCATCAGGGAAAAGTCATCCTTAAAGCCCAGCTTCTTATGCCTTCATCTGTGCTGCTGAAACAACTTCAGATCATTAAAAAAAAATCTATAATTTAACAGTTATTATAGGTTTGGCTATTAGAAAGCCAAACAGCCCTGTGATGGGTGTTGCCCAGCTCTACTTTCTACTCACCTTGTGCTGCCTAAGCCTCAAGCTGTGCCCTATGAACACCTGCAAAATTTGTGGATTTCTCTTTTTCTCCAAGTTAAAATTAAGTAGACCTTGTGCAAACATTTATGCAACATTGTATTTTTGCATAAATAGCCAACCAACCATTGAAAAGAATGCCTCTCCAATTTTCTAACGTTAGAGCTGAGGTGCATAACCTCTTGTATAGGATGGAGTGGGAGATGAGGAATGTGAGCGAGAGGAAAGGCATTTTAGCTGGATGTGTGTGTTAGGCTGAATAAAGGAGTTGAATTAGTACAAAAATCTCCTTGGCAGCTCTTTCATGGGGTGTTTGCTGTGAGCTCACACACTTGCCAGGGTAGGTGAGTGTGTCACATGCTCTTGGCAGCTCCCAGGGCACCAGGGCTCTGTTGTATGCATTTATTTAAATTCGTTACATGTGGAACACAATCAGAGCAATGTGATGGCTGAAAGACTCAAGTCTTACAGAGAAAACAGTCTGGTGGGTGAGAGCAGACAGCAGGTAGTGGTGAGGGAGATGGCAGATGCTTCAGAATGGTTAATTCCTCAATTGGAAACACATTTGGTCAAGATGAGGCTCTGGGAGAGGATTGCCCATTGTCAGCTGGTTTGGTGAGGTGATAAATGAATATTGTTATCAATGGTGAGATGGCTGAAGCTGTTAGATGATAGGGTTGTTTTTTAAACATGCCTGTTTTCAACAATTCCTTCAGAAAAAGCCCTGAATTGGGAAAGAAAAATAGAGGGAATATGAACCTCCACCGTGTCATAAACAGAGCTCAGGAAAACGAGTTTTCAAGGGAATGCCTGTGCTGTAGGGAACTTCATTTTGCTGCTTTTGTACAGGACAGTGGATTACACCAACAATAACCCAACAAGTACTGTGAGATCCTGCTCATAGGCTGCAAGCTGGGAGCTGCTCAGCACAGTTATCACATACCTTTGTATCTGTTACAAACCATGGGGGCTGGAGAAGTATTTAAATTTGGCCACCTCCAATTTGAAGTGCAGGAGCAGTTTGAGAAGGCAGAGGTTGAGAGAAGGACAACTGCAAAGAGCATTTAATAGAGTGAATGACCCAGCAACTGGGAAATTCAGCCTAAAATCCTTGTGGAGGGCCTCATGGAGGCCAGTGCCTGAATTCCCAGTGCTCTCCTGGGGAAACTGAGGCAGCTCTGAGGTTTCCCACCTGCAGGTACCACCCAGCTGTGTTTTTGGGTAGGACCACTGTGCTGTCAGCCATGGAAAAGTCAGCAGAGTGAAGGGCCAGGGAACAGCAAGGAGGGATGGGCAGGACAAGGGGAACAGGCTGCCTGGCCAGGGAGGAGAGCTGGGAAAAGCAGGAATGAGGACGGTCCTGGGAAGTGCCAGGATCAGTCAGGAGAGGGTTAAGCATGGACATCACTGCCAACACAGGGCAGAGACTGCATTTTCCCAGGATGGAAAAGCAGGAGATGGAATCCATCCTACCCTCCAGCCAAGCATCCCCTCCCTCTCCATGCTCCCTGTGCTGATCCCAGAGGACTGGAATCCCTATGGATGCACAGCGAGCCCATGGCTGACAAAGAGCCCTCCTCTCCTCCAAATCACACCACATCCCCAGAAGTCCCCATGCTGGGGAGGCAGAAACCACAGCCCTGGGAAGGAGTTTACTGTCCTTGGGAAGGGCAAGAATTCTTCCCAGTGGGGCAGCCCAAAACCCTTTCTGGGAAGAAGGAAGGTAGACAGGAATCAGGCTCTGGACAGCAGCAGTGCTGATGATGGAGGGTGATGGATGCCCACATGCATCCCACAAGGAGTGCCCACACCTTCACCATTTCCATTTGACTGGCCCAACTGAACATTCCTTCACTGCTATTTCACTGTTATTTCATCAGTGACCTGGATGTGAAGGCAGAAATGCTGACTTTATTCCGACACAGATCCTCTCAGGATGGGGAGACAAAGCATTTCCACTCATAGCATGCAGCTCCCTGCCAGAGCTGGGGTCCCTCTGGGTGTTGGGGCTGGCATGGAAGTGGCTCAGCCCCTCAACACCCCTCTCTTCTGGCTCCATGCATCCTGAAATGGCAGCTCCTCTGCCGCCCAGGCCCATGGATGGGGTTCCCAGCAGCCCACACATCAGCTGGAGTTGGTTAGGAGCCTCAGTGCGGGGTGGGTCGAAAATATCTCGTTGGAATAGTTTTTACAAGGTGAAAAGGGAGGAACAGGACTGTCTGAAGAAGTGGTTTCTTTTTCTGTTTTGGCAAAAAGTGTCTGTTTTCAGTGGGGAAAAAAAAAATAAAGAAGCAGCATTTTCATTAAAAATTAAAATGCTGAAGACTCAAAACTTTCCAGCCAAAAATACCCAGCTAAGGCCAAAAAGCTTTTCATTTCTTATTGAAATGAGTCTTTAGAGAGAAAAGAGCTGAAGATTTCTGTGGGAAACCCCAGCATTCTCTAGTCTGGCTTTTGAATGTTTGCTTGATTCCTTTCACTGCACCTCAGGTTCAGGATTTACGTCTCCCCCAGCTGAGAGCGGAAAAGGTTCATTTGCAGGATTTGCTCTTATTGCTGCTCCCGCCCCAGCTGAAGCCCAGCTCGCCTCCACGTCCACACGAGGAAATCTCAAAAAACTCTGAGCTCAAAATAAACTTGTTTCCCTTTTTACTGTTCCCTCCTCGTCCCGAGGAGTGACATGTTCTGTGCGTGGGTTAAGCGCTGCCTGTGCCCCAGCAGTGCCGGGGCGAGGGTGGAGTGGGGGAGCTGGAGAAGGGTATTCGGGGGAGGCTGATTTACAGATGCTACATCTGACCCCATACCTGGGATTTTATGCACTTTACGTGTGTGATGACCAGGTTAGCAGATGAGGCACGTGATAACTGATAAACACTGAAATAAAGTCATTCTCAGCAGTGAGGATTTGTTGTATTTCGATGGCCCCGTCCTCACCAGGAGGAGACCAGGGAGAGGTGATATCAGGGAACGTGGGGGCAAGAAAAGCAATTTCAAACGGCAAGAAAAGTCATTTCAAATTGGTTTGGGAGAGGGAGGAGCAGGAGGAGTTTGGCTCCTGCGGGAGCAGGAGCTGCAGGAAGGGGCTGGAAGGGAAGGAGCTGCGGGATCCCGGCTGTCCCACGCCCGACCCCGGTACCTTTGCAGGCCTTGCGGTGGGAGATGGGCTTGCTGAGGTCTCGGTAGAAGCCCTCCTTGCAGTAGTGGCAGTGCCTCCCCGCCGTGTTGTGCCGGCAGTTGAGGCAGACGCCGCCGCTCTTGCGCCCCGACAGCTTGTACAGCTCCATGTTGAAGCGGCAGCGCCGGGCGTGCAGGTTGCAGTTGCAGGCTGAGAGAGGCAAAGAGTGGAGATCGTCACCATTTGTGCCCAGCTACGGAGGTGCCAAACCCAGGGGAGCCTGTGTGAGCAGGGCTGGGCACCCAGTGTGCCCTGTCAGAGTGGGGTGTCACGGGGTGGGATGCTTTGGTGCAGCTGCTAACCCATACTCCCTCCTGACCAAGGCTGTGTGATAAGTCCAGCTTTCTGGAAGGGAAAGCTGAGGTCACTAAGACCTCATTTCACTATCCTGACTTGCAGCAAATGTACCTTTGCCTCTCCCTGCTCTTAATGTGGATTAGAATCTGGGTGCAGGCAGGGTTGTGAGGACAGGGAGCCCATCCATGGTCAGGGAACAGAGCACAGCCCCCCACACTCCTCCTCCAGCTCTGTCACAAGCACTTTGTCCCATGCAAGCACCACTCTCTCCCTTCTCATCCACTCTCACTTTGTATTGTGCTACTGCTCAGCACAAAGGCCCCCAAACTGCCATGAAATCCCTCACTTCCCAGTACCTCAGGAACCCCCTCTGCCCACCCCTGCAGGAAGGGCATTTCCATCATCACCTGCCCGACCTTCCCGGTATTCCCACTCTCACCAGTTCTGACACACGTGTGTGTTTGAGCTCCAAATACCATTTCAAGACCTTCCTAGCTAGTTTCTTCCTAGCCACAGGCTCTGTTACTCATCTGCAGCCTCAGGTATGCTGATAAACCTCATCTCTGCCTCGGCATCCCCCATCCCGCCTGGGGCAGGGCCGGCCTGACACCCCGTTAGCCAAATACCAAGAAGTCCCCCAGTGCTTTGATTGCATGTGCTGTGACTGAGATGTCCAATTCCTCCACCATATGCAGCCTAGTGTCAACACAGGCACTATTTTAACAGGGGGCCTTCGCAAAGGACAACTTAAGGACTTCAAAAGCCCGACCCCTCGCCTGCCTCTCCCCAGAGCTGTCACGGGGACATCAAGAGGCAGTTGCTGGGGCTCTGTGCTTTGCTGAGAATTTTATAGCTTGTTTTCTTTTCCCCTTGCTTTTATTTGCTCTTCACCCCTGAACAATGCAGCTGTGCCATGCCAGGCCACAGCTGGGCCTCTCGGCACGAAGGTGTCACGGCTCTGGGCTTGTCACCTTCCTTTAGAGCAGAGACATCTTAATCCCTCATTCCTTCCTGTTTACCTTATGGTGCTTGCCCAACACAAAGACATGCTATATTTGCTTAATTATCAAATTTCAACCCAGAAAATTACAGTGCAGTTCCGCATTATTCATCAGGAACAACTCCCAGCTGACACCAGACGTGAAAGGAAAAGGGAGAGCGAAATCCTCCATCCACATCCAACCAGTGGGATGGAGCCTGCTCTCTCCGTGCCTTGCAATCGGAATTCCTGCAGCTGGCGTGGTGAGGCCAAGCCTCAGGTCCCCACCAAACGCTGGCAGAGCAGGAGCAGCAGCCACCGACGTGCCAATGGTGACAGGAGCGTCCCGGGAGCGGTTTGCCGGCCGGGAGGGAGTGAGATTCCTGACACTGAGCAGGGCCACGGCTTTGAACCGCGGTTTGCCTCTCCTTTAGATCAGCCCAGCTGCCTGTGGGTGCATTTGTCAACTCCTGAAACAGGAGATGGCCATCAAGGAGACCGGAGACACCGCTCCTGCATCCCGAGGGAATGGCTGCTGTTTAGATCTGGCCGGTCCCACAGACACATGTGCTGATGCTGCGCTTTAACAGCCTGTTTGCAGCTAAAAGGAGCACAGGAGCATGCACCAGGCGCTTTCTGTGCCCTCTTTGGAGGCTTTTCCCCTCCCATCTAAACCTCAGGAAGAGCAGCATGCTGTGCCTTGCTGGAGCAGCTGCTCAGCTCTGGTTCCTCCTCGTCTCACACGTGCTGAGCAGCCCCAGCCACCACGATGGCTCCACCACACGCAGTAAAAATAGGGGGTTAGAGGTGATTCTTGCCCTGCAGAACACACGAGCTGAGCTTCTGGGAAGGAGGTGAAGTTTTTAGAGTCCCAATCCTTGTTTTTCAGAAGGTAAAATCCTTGTTTTACGGAGGTGAATGAAGATGTTGAGATTAAACCCTTTTTCTGGGCGTGCAGAAAGTGCAGAGCCAAGGGCTGGTTCCTTCACTCAAGGCAGAACCTCTCCCCAGCCATTAACCAGGGCTGTGACATGAAGGATGATCTCTTGGTTGTACCTAAATCCCAAGGCAACACCTTTATCAATGGCACAGCCTCAGGACTCAGCTCAAGCAGAGGAAAAAAGAGATTTCGATGCCTCAATCTGAGGGCTGGTCATCCCTGCTGTAGCCTGTGACCACATGGGCACATCTCCATCGTTCAAAGCCTTAAGGCTCATGAGCAGCTCTGCCTTTGGTGCTACAAACCACAGGACTTAGTCCCTGTTGATTAAAAAGAGGAGACATTTCTCCAGGGGGTGGCATGGCCTCACAAAAGACTTAGTTCTTCCTTGAATCTGTCAGAAATGCATGTTTTCCCCAGAGAGTGAAAGCTCACCTCCTCCTAAAACTTGTATTTTAGGAGAGCTGGACTTGGCACTCAAGTATTTTGCAAGATTGCATTGGCAAATCCCTTTTTAAAATTCAAAGCTGAGCCCACACGAAGAGTGACTGAAAATCTTCGCATTTCTTTGGGTTGCTTGATAAGCAGAAATGTTTTTGCAAAACCAGGAAAACAGGACTCTTGGGATTTTCTCAAGTTCTTTGCTAATATTTCTGCTGGTCCCACCAGAGCAGAGCTGCACAGGAATGTGGAGGAATAAGTGGAGTGTGTAGAGCAGCTCAGAGCTCTGCTCCTGGGATCAATTTTACACTGATCTTCCAGGGATGGGAATATCCAGTGTCTGAAGAAGGGAAGAAGCTGAACCTCACAAGATGCTGCAAGGAGCTCCCCAAAACAGCCATCCCTGTCCTCACCCAGCGTCAACAACCTAAATATTGTGGATGCCTTGGGGTATAAACCCTCCAAGGAGGAAATGAATGAGCTGGGAGAAGGTGTGGGCTGGTCCAGCCCATCTCCATGAGCAGCACGACCTCCCTGTGAGCTTCCCACAAGCACAACAAGCAGCCAGGGAGCAACAGCCCTCCACTGCGACTTCTCAGGTTTTTTTGGCTCCATCAGCTCAGCCTTTGTTCTGTCTCCTCTTTCCACCTGCACTCCCAAGGCACAGAGGACACCCCTGGACACTGGTTGCCTCCTAGCACACAGCTGCAGTGCCATCATCCACCCCCTCCTGATCCACCTGTCTCTGCCCACAGAAGTGGCCAAACTGCCACAGGGAGAGTGGTTTTAGTTGAAATTACTGCCTCCTGTGTTCACCCTGAGTGCCTGGGTCCTGAGTGGCCAGTGCTGTGCACCCCTGGCCACCAGCCGGGCTGGATGGAAGCTCCGTCTGCAGCCTGATGTGTTTGCAGATGCCCAGTGGGAGAGGTTTGGTCTGATTGAAGGAAGATAGCCATCCTGTTTTCTCCTGACAATAGCACACAGGGATAGAGGAATTAGGGCAATGCAGTAACTGACCCATCCAGGCATCAGAAAGTCCTTGCTGGGACACGTCAGGATGGGATCCATCACCCGGAGGTGCTGAGTGCTGTGGACCCAGCAGCAGGTCGTGATGCTCTTGGATCCCATCTCCCAACCTGTGCACAGTCCCTGGGTGCTCCCCATGGTGGGCAGGGGGAGTGGCTCACCCGGCCACACTTCCCTGGACAGAGGCACTCGGGAAAGGCGGATCCCGCCCTCCCTCTCCCTCACCCGAGGTTAATCGCCCGCTGTGCTAAAGAGTTTTGCCTCGCTCCTAACACGACTTGGCCTGGCTTTAATTTTCAGCCACTGCTTCTTGGTTGGAATTTCCCTGCCACACTAAGTGGCTCTTTAGCAACCCAACTTTTCTTTCTATGAATGCCTTTGCCAGCTGTAGTAAAAATCACCTCCCGGTATTGGCATCACCTTCACACCCCACGCTTTGCTTTTCACCTGGGGGAGAAGACACCCCTGCACGGGCTGCAGACCCAGCTATGAGCAAAACATGGACCAGGTGCTGAGACCTCTCTGATGAAAGGGTTTGGCTGCAGTTGCTCAGCTAAGCTCAGTGCTGCTGTCTCCTGCTCTCCTCTTTCTCCCCTCTTGCCAAGGACCTCACAAGCCTTTTGTTCGCTTGCTTTATTGCACACAGATGTACAGAGCTTCATCAAACTGTCTCTACCTGAGCTGCCAGGCTCCGATATGAATAACCAGGTTTCATTTAAACACAGATGTTCAGAAACTTGGAGAAGGCTGGAGTGGAAAAGGGGAAAGCTGTGGTTTGGACCCGGCTGAAGAAAGTACCGCAGAATCTTCTCCACATTGAAAACAGCGACTCGGTCAAATTAATCACTCGAAGAAGGTCAAGGTGGGTAGGATTTTCCATTTGGGAGAATGAAAGGAGATACATGAATGGAAGCACAGGCTGGAGCTGTGTGGTGGGAGCTGTGGTTGTGGTCTTTGTGCTGCTGCTGTGTCCCCCAGGCCCCATGTCCCAGTGCCCTGCGTCTCCCAGGACGCATTCCTCTCCGTGGTTTTCATTCAGCAATGACAATGCTGCCCTTTCAAAAGACCCCACCCTCCCAAAGCTTATATTTTGGCAATTTTCAAAATGCAAATTGCTTTTTAAACAAACGAAAGCCCCAAAACATTTTGTTTTAATTTTTGCAAACAATAATTCGGGGGAAGGGGGGAAGGGAAAGGGGGGGATAGAAGAACCCAGAGGCTGAAAGTAATCTCTAAATTTGACTTGAATTTATGAACAGTCTCAGTCTTTTTAAAATCGTCCTTTTCCCAAATAAGTTTCTTTTTTCTAGAAAATTGCTAGTTCAGCCTGAGCCATTATTTCTCTTCTGCAGAGCAATCCTTGCGTGCACTGTCCTGGCTGCTGAGAGGGCACCCTGTCCTTACCCATCTGGGAGGGGGCTTTGCTCCCAGGGCACGCCTGGAGATATCTTCAGGGGTCTTATTTTT